ATCCCACTGCGGCACTATCTAGGGATTTAACTATTTTTCTGTAATGAAGTTTCGTGTTTCAATATATTTTTTTTCAGCGAAGTTGTAAGAGCTATTTTAGTGACTTAACTATTTTTAGCAAATTCTTTTTTGTGTGTGTGTCTGTGTATGATATCCTAAGCACCGTGCTTAGTTTATTCACCAAAGAACTCATCAAATTTTGCTATAATTTTGTTCAATTTTTTTTTTTTGCCTCATATAGAATGATATCTAAAGATGAAATTTCTTCTTCCGTTAGAGGGTTCGTTCGATATCTTAATTTAAATCTAAATCATAATTGTTCTAGTTCAAACCCATATGTGTGTGTGTGGATAGAGTAATGATCTCCTAAGCACCGCGCTTAGTTTATTCACCAAAGAACTCATCGGTTGTACGCTTCAGCACCAACTCCATAACCTCTGCACTTATTTTCTCCTCGTGGATCATCAAAAACGATCTTGTTCCTCACTATTTGAAACTTCAATCACCTCTCAGAATCTTCAAAACTCTAAAGAATATTTGGTAGACAATTTTGTATTGTTGATCTTTTAGCATTTTAATCTTGTGGTTGAAGAAAGGGAAATATAGAATCAATGTTTGATCTTCAATATGATGTTCTCTTCAATGAATAATGGCTCAACACAAATTTGGAATGGATTTTACCTTGGGTATTTATAATATAAAGAGATTGAGGTTGTTTGGGATTATAAAAAGGTTAAAAATCGCGATCTACAGTTTGGCCAAATGACAAGATGGCTCGAGCAGAGAGTAAGTGCTAAACGGGCGATTGACTTCTGCCAAAACCGCTCGAGGGGCCGCTGGTGGTCTTCGAGCTTGTTTTACCTCGATTTGATCTTTTTGAATCAAACTTTGATTCCTTCTAAAGGAACTCCCAACCCCCAACAACTCAACCCTAATTATAACTCTATTAAATGAAATTTTGGACATGAAACTTGCCAACACATTAGACCTAACAAAAACTATGGGAATGTCATAATCTTCGTCACCTAAACTAAAAAACATATCAACTTCAACTTCCTCATAGAACATTGGCACACATTTTTGTTGCCTGAATCACATTCGTTAAACTCTTCATCAACCTTCTCGTCAAAAATTATGGGGTTGAAATAGTAATTACCAAAATTCTTTTATCTCAACATAGAAAGTTGAGTTGATTGTCTGCTTGATGCCATCTTAACAAGGAACATAGCTGAAGCTTCAATACCAACATATATAACAGAAATTTGAGGAAGATGATATACACTTTAAAACTCGTTGATTCAAAATTTAAATAATGAAAATTGTACAAAAGATAGAGACATGCTCTCTGAAAAATTTATTAATAGCAATTATCAACTAAAAAAGAAAAAACATTCAAGCTAGTATATATCTATTTATTAAAATTTAGAATTCCATCTTAAAAGACCAAACTTAATAGGAGAAGTCTAAACCTTTATATAATATATTTATTTCATATTTATTCGATATGAAATTTATCTACAATAGGCCATTGCAGGATAACAGCTCGTTTGAGAACACCAATATTGAAATCAATGTGCTTGTTTTAGTTTTAATCAGATTGAATTGATCATTTAAATTTAATGGACTCAGATACCATTTCATAAATTAAATTTTTTAATTGAGTCTCTTGGCTAAATAACAATAAATTAAAAATATTTATGTTTGTAATCTAAGACCATCCACAACAGAAAAAAATTACACTTGTACTCTTGAAAATACATTAACTAGTAAAATAGTATGAAATTAATAATCTATCTTAAAAAATTAACATTTTCGTAGAAATTAATAACTAACATAAAAGATCAAATGCAATATTTCTATATTTTTAATACAATATTAATTTCTTATTCATTTCAAGTAGGAGTTCACAGAAAAAAATGAAGATAATAAATTTTGTAAATCTTAGACAATAACATACCGTCTATTAACGTAAAAAAATAATAAAAGATCGTTGTGTCTAGTAATTAAATTTTTGATAGATTTTAAAATGTTTTAATATGCTGTTGAACAACCAAAATATCTCTTATTAGAAAAAATATTAATATGCCCGGATCGATGTTAGCAATGTTGAAAATGCAAGAATTATGTATTGTTTGAATACCATTTGATGAAACCAACCGCCAAAATAAATTGTTGAAGTTATATGATAAATAATGAAGTATTATGTTAAGCAAAAGAATAAAAGAAGACAAGAATATGACAGAGAATTTAAGAGATTTTATTGACTCAATAATAAAAGAGCAATGAAGAATATTACAATGGATCCTATAATTCTAGTAATTTATTTTCTCATACTTTAAAATTGTATAGAAGAGCCCAGTATTTATAGGGAACATGTAGGGGACTTCCAAACCCTCTTGGTAGAGTTGTTGATAAAGTAGAATGCCAAAAAATCGAGTCCAAAACGAAGTAGGAATGAAAAACGCGAAAAATCCACATCAAATGGGCAGTGCCTGGGTGCCGTGGTCTCAGCTAGAAATCTTCCAAAAATGTACCAAAGTGTTTTTCTTCATTCCGTACTCTTCTTCAAGTCCAATACCAATTTCCAACACCCAATGGATATCCAAAAATAGAATTTCAACTTGATATAGAATTCCAAATTTGAATTCTCCTTGACGTGCACTTCAATTAGAATTTTTCAATATTTTAAACATTTCAACAAAGGAATTTGGGTCACACTCAAATTCCAACATAATATTTTAAAAGGTATCGTGCTACGTAGTATAATATGCATAGTAGATATTTTATTTTATTTTATTACATTTTCAAATTGGGAAATTTTAATCTCTTTAGCAATTTATTGTTACATATTATCAAGTTGTTCGACATTTTTTAGCAAATGGTGTTTTTATTACACTATAGTGAGTGTAGTAAGTAAAACGTAATTTTGAACACACTATATGTTAAGTGCAATACATCCTATATACATGGTTATCAACCCTTCCCCTCTTTAGAGGACGGATACTTCTTGTAGATCTTATAAGTTTGATCATACTCCACTATATTTACTTTAGCCACAATTGGATCAAACTTAATTCATTATAGAACTCATGTCGTCTTTTTCAATCGAAGTCTAACAATTAGTTCTTGAATATTAATTTTATTTCACTCGTAATTAATATAATTCTTTAGATATTATAGAGTCCAATACGTTTAGGGCATGTTTGAAACAAGGGAATTTCCATGGAAAATGGAAAAGTTTTTCCTTCTTCCACTTTTTCCCTTGTTTGATGGCTAAAGTTTTGCCTAGAAAACCTTTTCAAGCTGCCCTCCTCACGCTCCACTTTTCTGGCTTTTTAAGGAATATATTTTTCTTTGGTTTGTGTGATAAAATGTTTTCCAGCTTATTTTTTTTGTTTTTTTCGTTTTTGGCAATTAGAAGACATTCTAGACACAATGGTGAAAAAAATTATCACTTTAATGGACAAGTTTCATGAAATATAAAGCCAAACAGACACCAAACTTTAACATTTTCCAAGTGAAAAATTATACAAATCAAACGCAATTAATTACAATTCCCGATAAAACATTTTTTAGGCAATTCAATTCTCGGTAAAACATTTTCTTTCCACCAATTTTCCACCTTTGCAATCAAACGGACCCTTATAGGAATTGTCCGTCAAATTAACGATCACAATTATCCACATCTTCGATTATGAACTGTTCATATTCAAAATCTAACAATTAGTTTTTCAATATTCATTTCTTTATGCTCTCACTTAAGATAATTCTTGACATATGAGTGCGTCTAATAATCAGTTCATAGGAATTATCTGTTCATATCCAACCGTTTTCTCTCAGTTAAGCCTAGTAAATTTTCCCTAACATATCATCTACTCATAATCAAGGAGAAAAATATACATGACTTTTTACATAGGAGCCTAGCTATGCTTGTGTGATTTTTAGGGCTGTAAATGGATCGGATCTGCCTATATTCGATCCGATCCGATAATCCAACGGATATTTGATTGTTAAGATTCATATCCGATTTGCTATGTTATCAGATATCCGATCCGATAATCCGATTCGAAATTAATAAAAATTAGGGGAAAAAATCAATGTTGGAATAAAATCAAATTTAATTAATTATTTACTTAATTATTTGATGTGGGACAAGGTAAAATTAAATTTCAATTCTAAATATAAATATTTTATTTCATTATTTCCATTAACAAACCAAATTATTTGTTACATATTAATTATTAGTTTTTGAAATTGTAAAATTAATTACAATAATAAATTTAATTAAGAAAAATATAGATATTTATTTACTTTAAAGTAGTAAACTAAAATTAAAAAAATCTATTGTTTTTATAATATTTTACATTTACGTGTATAGTTATTTATTCAATTTGACAATCGGTTCGATACCTATTCAACCCCGATTCGACTTTTTGACTTTTGACCCTTGACCCTCTTCATTTTCCGGGTCGATGCCCGGGTCGATTTTTAAAACATTGGTTGAAATCAATTTTTTTTTTTTTTTTTTCAAATTTTCCAATTCTTAAACAGATTTAATAATTATAAATTTTTCATCTTTTTTATGTTTTGAATTTGATTACTTTTTTATTCTAAATTTATTTATTTTCTCATTTATTTATTTTAATAACAAATAATATACCATAAAAATATTTTACCGACTCAATTATTTATAACAAATCGGATCGGATTGACCTATATCCATATTTGATTCATTTATTAACGAATTGTCGGATTCGGATCTTGATCGAGTTATTGGACTGAGACCCTAAATCCATCTCCCATTAATTTCGTCGGATTCGGATCGGATTCGAATCCAATCCATTGACAGCCCTAGTGATTTCCATACTCTTAATTCAATAGGTTCCACTAACATTTTTTTTGTCATGCTGATGGTAGAATTCCAATTCTTCTGGTAATATCTCTTTGGTGAGCTTGGAAGTACTAACTCAACTCATCCGACAAAAATAGAAAAGTTCATAATGGAGGCGTTAATCGTGGAGGCCATTGTCCGTCCCTTTGCTGATAAGATCATTGAAGAATTGAGGACTAAAATTTCCCGCCAATTTAAGTACCTGTATCGCTACGATAAGATCATTGAAGAATTGAGGACTAAAGTGCGAGATCTCGAAAAGCAGAGAAATGACGTGGAAGAAGCAAAAAAATATGCGTTAGTTATTATACCAGAGGTGGAGGTGGATGTATGGCCGAAAAATGTTGATGATTTAAAGAAAAAGGTTGATGAAGTTTTGCACAGAACAACAAATTCTGAAATTCGATGCCAATGCCTTGGGTGTCCAAATATCTTCACCCGTTACTCGCTGAGCAAGGATGCCACAAAGATGATTACTGAAATTGATGAGCTCGTAAAAGTTAAATTTGAAATGGTGGGCAAGCGTGCACACCATGGCTCTGAGGATTTGAAGACAAGGGTATCAACTAAGAAGAAAATCATAAGAGCTCTGGAGGACACTGATAACAGCATAGTTGGGATATGTGGCCTGCCTGGGGTAGGTAAGACGACAATGGCAAAGGAAGTAGAGACTCAAGTACGCAAAGATAAATTATTTGATGAGGTTGCATGGGTAACTGTTTCTAAGGATACAGAGATAAAAATTATTCAGGAAAAACTTGCTGAAGCGCTCGGTTTGAAAATTGAACAAAAGACAAATGAAGTTGAAAGAGCTTCACGACTTAATGAAGAACTTTTCAAAAAAAGGAAAAAGAGAATTCTAGTAATATTCGATGATGTATGGACAGGCATTGATTTGGAAAATTTAGGATTTTCTTCATCAAGTCATCGTGAGGGGTTGAAAATTCTATTGACATCACGCTTTGAAGAAGTCTGCAGAGGGATGGGAGCTCTGACGAACATTAAAGTTGAAGTTTTGGATAGCGATGAAGCTTTTGCATTTTTTAAAAACATTTCAAAGATTTCTAATGATGATACTCAACTGTTGGCCATAGCAAAACAAGTTGCAGAAGAGTGTAAAGGTTTACCTCTTGCACTTGAGGTTGTTGGCAAAACACTAATAAACAGTGGACTATATGCATGGAAGGATGCACTTTATCAACTACGGAATTCTCGACTTGAAGATAAGGTATACTCAAGTATAGAGTGGAGCTACAAATATTTGAAAAGTGATGAACACAGGTCCTTGCTTTTGCTATGCTCTCTTTTCCCTGAAGATGATAGCATTCCAATTGAAAGATTGGTTAGATATGCATGGGGGCTAAAACTGTTTAAAAGTACTAAGAAATTATCTCAGACCAGAGATCGGGCACGTACAATCTCTGATAATCTAAAAAGTTGTCATTTGTTACTACCAGGTGATGAGGAGGAGGAGGTCATATTGCATGATGTTATCAGAGATTTTTGCTTATCGATTGCATCTAAAGGTGAACATTGGTATACGGTGAAACATGATTTAGTGACAGAGTGGCCAGAACATGATGCCGATGAATATGAATCCTACAGTGCCATCTTTCTAACATTTCAAGGGGCGATTAGGCTGCCCAGCAGGTTTCGGTGTGGGAACCTCAAGTTATTACGGATGCAATCTCTTTGGGGAGCAGGAGTAGTTAACATACCCGAAAATTTTTTTGACGATATGCAGGAACTTATAGTTATTGATATCGATGGACTTCTAATTCGATCACCAATCCAACTGTCAAAGGGTCTTCGAACTTTGCACTTGGACTACTGTGTTTTAGGGATTGGAATGTCATTCTTTGGAAGTCTAAAGAATTTGGAAATTCTCACATTGTTGGGTTCTGTTCTCTCTGTTGATTTTTCCCGTGACGAAGTGGTAGAACATAGCAACATAAAGTTACTGGATTTGAGGTTTTCAAAAGGTCCATGTCCACTTCCCCCTGGTTTTTTGTTGGGTATGAAGAAACTAGAAGAGTTGTACTTGGGAGATTACTTCAACATAAATGGAGAAAAAGAGCACATTATCCAAGAGGTAAGTTCATTGAAGGCTCTCAACAATCTTCAGATTAACACAGATGATACTCGGTTTCTGATGCAATTATTTCAAGGGTGCTCCGAGGAGGTGGAAAATTTTCAAATCAACCAAGATCGCCAATTTCTTCGTGAATATTCCGTAGGTAATTTCCTATATTCTCCTGAACATTCCCGAAGGGACTTGGCTCTCGACAATATTGACCCAAACATGCTTTCGGAACCTGGAATGAAGTCATTAATGAGAAAAAGTGAACAACTTTCTCTGTCGGTGAAAGGCTGGAATAATCCTGTCATTGAGTTAGCTGAAGATGGTTTCATTAACTTGAAGAGTCTGAAGCTAAACCTTTTGGATTCCGAGTATCTTATTGATAATGCAGGATCCATTCCAAGTGACATCTTCCGCAATTTGGAATCTCTGAGTTTGACCCGAATGAGCAGGCTGAAAGAGATGTGCAATGCAAATTTTCCAAGGATGGAACATGTGACGAGGGGTGTCTCGGAAGGACTGTTCTGTAACCTCAAGAATTTTAACGCAAGAGATTGTGATAAAATGAAAAGAATGTTTTCTCAGTCTGTTGCAAAAGGCATGGTTAATCTCGAAGAACTAACCATACGTTTATGTCCGTCGTTAGAAGTTGTTTCAGTGGAGACACACGAAAGTGAAATTACCGAACCGCTTTCGTTCCCAAAGCTGAAAGTAGTCAGGCTTGAAGATTTGAAGAGTTTTGTAAGCTTCAGATCTCAACCAAATGCAGTTGGTCTTCGTCAAACATTGCTCAACCAGGTAATATATCTATATATATATATATATATATATCTTTCCTTTTGTGTGCTTGCTATTGCTCAACCAGGTAATATATATATAATTCCTTTTGTGTGCTTGCATCAATTCTGGAGAATAAGGGAAATTAGGAAAACAGATGTTAACTTAATTTATTTATAATTCCATACTAGGATAGATAATTTGGTCTATAGTAAAATCAATTAGAGTCAGTTTTTGTAGAATGGCTTAGCTTTTCTTAATCCTTGTAATTATTGATCTGTAGATGAAGTTTTAACTTTGGCTGACACTATTAACTGAATTTCACAGGTTACACTGCCCAAGGTGAAAGAGTTGTATATTCGCAGGTTGGGTAGCATAGAAAAGATACTAAGCATGGAGGAAACGCCATCCGGATCTCTAAATAGATTACAGTTCATGGTAGTGGACAATTGTGATAAGCTGGTCAACATTGCACAATCCAATTCTATTAAACTATTGAAAAATCTTGAAACTCTTCAAGTAAAGGGCGGTAGGGCACTAAATGTAATATTTGACTTTGAGGGTCTAAACGTTAACAACGACAATGAAGAAGAAATTAGTATACTTGGTCAACTAGGAGGATTGGAATTGTATAGAGGAGATTGCTTGGTGCACATTACGAGGATGGTTCCTAAAGGAATCCGTGTCTTCCAGAATCTGCAACAGCTTGAAGTTAAAAATTGTGGCAGGTTGAGGTACTTATTCCCGTCTTCTATGATTAACTCGTTTGTGTGTTTAGAAACTCTAGCCGTCTGTTGTGGCGAAATTGAAGAAATCTTTGGAAGAGAAGAAGGAGAAGGAGAAGGAGGAATGGCTAGCAATATTGCGTTCCGTAAATTGAGGAGATTAGTACTAACGGATTTGAAGAGTTTTGTAATCTTCAGATCTCAACCAAATGCAGTTGGTCTTCGTCAAACATTGCTCAACCAGGTAATATATATATATATATATATATATATATATCTTTCCTTTTGTGTGCTTGCATCAATTCTGGAGAATAAGGGAAATTAGGAAAACTGATGTTAACTTAATTTATTTATAATTCCATACTAGGATAGATAATTTGGTCTATAGTAAAATCAATTAGAGTCAGTTTTTGTAGAATGGCTTAGCTTTTCTTAATCCTTGTAATTATTGACCTGTAGATGAAGTTTTAACTTTGGCTGACACTATTAACTGAATTTCACAGGTTACACTGCCCAACGTGAGCGAGTTGTATATTCGCAGGTTGGGTAGCATAGAAAAGATACTAAGCATGGAGGAAACGCCATCCGGATCTCTAAATAGATTACGGTTCATGTTAGTGGACAATTGTGATAAGCTGGTCAACATTGCACAATCCAATTCTATTAAACTATTGAAAAATCTTCTAATTCTTAAAGTAATGGGTGGTAGGGCACTAAATGTAATATTTGACTTTGAGGGTCTAAACGTTAACAACGACAATGAAGAAGAAATTAGTATACTTGGTCAACTAGGAGGATTGGAATTGTATAGAGGAGATTGCTTGGTGCACATTACGAGGATGGTTCCTAAAGGAATACGTGTCTTCCAGAATCTGAAACTGCTTACAGTTGTAACTTGTGACAAGTTGAGGTACTTATTCCCGGCTTCTATGATTAGCTCGTTTGTATGTTTAAAAACTCTATCCGTCCGTTCTTGTGGCGAAATTGAAGAAATCTTTGGAAGAGAAGAAGAAGAAGAAGGAGGAATGGCTAGCAAAATTGTGTTCCCCGAATTGAAGAGTATAGAACTAATCGGTCTTCCAAGATTCAAAATGTTTTGCTCTCATACCTATGAACTTGTGTTCCCTTCACTTGATCTATTGAAAATTCAAGATTGCCCTGTGATGACAAAATTTTGTTCGGGACAGCTAAATGCGCCAAAGCTTAAGGGAGTACAGACAGAAAACGACGAAGTATTGACATTTCCAATTTCCCTAGATTGTAATGCAGGTATGTGGATTTTCTTCCATTTTACATAATGACTCTTAACATATATGCTATAATTACAATGACTGATAAATTAATATGCTCTGATTTTCAGGTTCCGTCCACAATTCACCTTCAAGTAGCGATTGTGAATAAAAGACAGAGAGTATGATTATGGAGAATGAAGTGTAAAGTCTAGTCGATTTTTTACACATTTAGCTCGAGGTCATGTCTCCTCCTAAATATGTACTATTTTTATTTTCGTTTCCAATAAATCATGTCACAATTTAGTGGTTAAATTGTTAAGCGTTTGAAATGACAAATCTATAATTCTTCGTAAATCGAGTTATTTTTTATATTCCTTTAAATTTCACAAAAATTCTATATAATTCTTGGCATAATATTTGGTTTTGGAATGAGTTCAAGCACAAAGAAAGTAATCAGCTATTTAAGTAGAAAAGATACTTAAAATTCTGCTAACCTTGAGTGTTAAAATTATCTTAAAAGATGTAATGTAAAAATAGTAAGTAAGAAAAATCCACACACTATGAAGCAAATTATAATCATTTACGAGCTTATAATGAGAGAGATGCACCTAACTCTTAAATCACAAGTAGTGCCTTAGCATCCACTGCTTTTTTGTTCCTAAGATACCAATTAATTCTTCACCCACTTTGTATGAATTGTTTCCCTCTTGTTTATAAATTTAAATAGTAAAACGTTACCAACCCAAAATCCTAACGGACAACCACCAAACCAAGCTAATCATCTTTGACCTTTCTCAGGCTTTCACCTAAAAAAATAAAAAATTATAAAATCACCCTAAAAGATAAGAAGGAAATAAAGTTGTCATTAATTTGAGTGTCGTTTTTAATGACAAAGCTGATTCGTTGATGGTATCGTTAATTAATGTTAGGATGTGACTCAAATTCTATATGATTTGAAAGTTTGATTCATGTAGGAAACCTAGATAATATTGGTTTGAAAGTTCGATTTGATAAGGGATTAAATTTTATTATGGATTGAAAATTTGATTGATAAAATTTTTTTGGAATGGATGAAAAAAGTTTTTTCGAAGCATTTGGACGGAGACGCGGTAATATGGAGCCAGCATGGTTGCAAGAGGTCAGGGACTGGGCGTCGCAGTGCTAGCTCCAGGACGCTGCAACCCCCATCAAGAGGCAAGGTCGGCACCTCGGCGCTGGGTGAGTGGCGCTGCGGCAGCATAACTAGACGGGAGAGAAGGACTCTTTGTTGATTTCTACCGCGTTTTTTATGCTTTACTTTAGCTATAATTCTAAGATTTGGTTCTTATATATACTTCACGTGGTGTAGGCCCTTAAAAAATATCATTGTTGTATACATTAAAAACTTGAGAGAATTGTTTAGATTTAGATTGAGAGTATCAAATCTTGTAAAACAATTTTAGCTTCTTGGTATATTAAATTTTACTCTTCTTCCACAAAATTTTGATTGTTGTGTGATACATTATTTTTCATATTATTCTAGTATTTAATTATTTAGCCGGATTATCAACAAATTGGTATCAGAGTTGAAGGTATTTTGGCGAGTTCTTGGGAGGTCGACATTGGATATTAAAGCGAGGTCAATTGTTTCGGGGATGACAACTATGAAATTCAAGATTCCTCTTTTGAATCGCAACATTAAATTCTCTTTGTGGCAGAGCTCAATTAAATCTTAATGATACTTTGTTGGGGATAGATGAAATTTATGTATAGTTAAGCCCTGTTGACAACTATTATTTTAAGAATAATTCTATTTAGCACAATTTGTGTTAAAATCAGTTTAGGTGGCACTAATGTTCTTAAATGAGAGGTACAATTAAATAACTCACTTAATTGCACATTTCATTGAAATTATCACATCACGTCATCTAGACTGATGTTTTAGTACCACTAGTGCTAGATAATATTATTCTTATTTCAAAATCTTTTTTTCTATATACTCATATCTAATCATGCATTCACACAATAAAATATTTTGCATGTAAACTTAATTTTTTCCATATTTTTTAATCATACATTCTTCTAAAAATCATTATTCAAAATTTCATTTTCCACAAATAATTGTTGTGAAAAAAGGTTAGAGGATTTATTAGGGTGGCCACTCCATGATGAGAAATCTTAGGCAGGAGTTGATGTTTCCAATGATGCTATTACACCACGACTTTGACTAAATGCAAACAATGGGAGGTGGAGACCTAAGTTGTTCGTGGAGAAATATATTCTCTGCCTTAATAATGGTGTATCCTTATAATTACACTCTTCCATTAAAGCATTTGGTCTTGACTCTTACCATCCATATATAGTTGTTGCAACACAACAACATTTTTGCAGACCACAATCTAATCATCATCTTTAATGTATGGCGGGCCAATCTAAATTAAAGGAGATCAAAAAACTAGAACAAAAGATTTTGAATTAAAATTGATTAATGTTTATTTTTGATACTTTCATGGCTTCATATTTGTTTTGAAGAATAATTTTGATAGGGTTAGGATACTTTGTTTTAGATTTTTCTTCTGTTTTTGGTGTGGGGTTTGCTTGGGAATTATGTTTCTAGTGTTGACATGACCGTCGTACCAGAAGTTACTAGCTCGTCGCATATCTAGGATTAAGGAAGCCCCATCGACAAAATTCTTAATTGATCCACCTAAAAAAGCACACTTTTTAGAGACTTTTTTCGCACTTTCCCTACAATTTCACTAAATTGACTTACCATTTGATCTTAGCTCCCCTCGAGTAGTTACTATTAGTCCATCTTAATATGTAGTACTTTTCCAATAATTTCCCTTGGAACAAAGTACTACGTAGTTTTAACCCCCTCAAATGAGATAATTGAAATGTTTCATCTTCTTCACGATAGAAAGAATCTCTCACTCCATCAAGGCCCAACTCTTCAATTGCATAAGGGGTCATCACGTTACTCGAGCACAATTACCTTGAGCATCGATCATGGATTTTCTAGACCATTGCAATTAACTTTGGTTCTTTCATGTACGTCCCAAGATTCATCTACATCTATATGGTTAGTTAAGCTAGGAACACGACTCTAATACCACTTTTTAACAATTGTGGTTTCATCCTAAATGGTTAGCCCATTAAAAGGAATAGTTCAATCTCCTTATAAACCTAAAAAACTTATTTTTGGTCATATATTATCATTTTTATCTAATATTGTGTACTAGGTATATTCTTAAGCGCGGCATTAATATAAGTTAGGTGACTGTCAAACTAGTTCTCAAACAGTCGAGTTAGTAATATTATAGGATAGTTGGGGAAACTTTTTGTCTCAAAATTAAAGAAAATAGTATCCATAAACTTTCTTGTACTGTTACTTCTTAGCATTACAATTAAGTTAATTTTCAATTGAACTCTGCAAATAATTGCTATGATTTCATGTTGTGCACCTTCTATTCATACTTCTTGACTGATCAACTGCCATTAATTAAACTTTTTTCACTGATTTGAATTTACGATTACATTATTTATAGAAAGTAAAAGCAACATAGTCACAAGGTACATTGAGTATAGTGTTCAACATGACAAAAAAATACGATAATTAAAAAAATTATTTATTATCCATAAATTTGGAGTGGACAACATTGTACCTTCTCGTTACTTGGTGACTCCCATAAAATCATATATATTTATTTGATTGAAACTAAAAATTTCAGTGATTAAACTTAAGCATGGGTTGATTTACCAAGACTGGAGTTCTTGTTTTCACATAAAAATATAAACATAAATATTTGTATGTGGAATATAAAGAAAAAAATTTGTTAAACTCTCTTAGTCTTCCCTCTTATTGTAATGCTATGCTTAGTTTTTATCCATAAAAATATAGGATTATATATTCGCACTTAAAAAATAAAATACTTGCAAAGGTCCACAAATTTTTTTATTGCTGTCGGAAAAGAAAGTCACCCCACCCCTAATACTTTATTGAAACTGCATCTAAATGGTGGTCCAATAATCAAAATGACCAAGTTTTGGGCAACTTCTTTTGGGGCAATGGTGAGTGGTGACTTTTCCACTAAAATAGTTATATGGACTTTTAGAGCTAAGAGACATTCTACTCACAAAACCCTTCCTTACAAACTATGCAGAAATCAAGAGATAAAGCCAAGAAAATGATTGATTCCACATGATCACATCATATGTAATTCATTATGTACAGGTAGGAAAATTCAACTTTTTTTATGATCTTTTGTATCTCTCTCTGTGTGTTTTTTACGTCAAATTTGGCTCTGAAATTTGATAGAACTCTCTCTCTTCTCTCTCTCCACTTTCTCTGCAATTTTGGCTCTGAAATCAGGAAGAGAAGTTTCCAAGAAAACTCGAACACTTATAGAGGGCTACAAAGCAATGCATATTGACTCTTCCTCCACAATTGACTTAGCTGCTGCAAACTTCAAGGCAAAAAGTTAATACTTTATAAACATTCTCAGGAATTTTCTAGTTTTCATCTCCATATTTATACCTCAATAATTATCTTCTATTGGCTATTTGTTTCATATAAGAAGTTGAAGTGCTATTTCTGTTATTGGTCTGCCATGCCATGATAGAATTCGGTGCTAAGGAAAAGACTTCCGAGAGCAAAGGATCACTCGACTCTGGATCGAGGGAATAGTTGGCTTTTTTTTGCATAAATTAGCAAGTACTTCCTTCCAATATTGACTGGGCTTAAACCATTTCGCACCTCTTCTTTGCGGGCCAGCTTCGTCTTTCTCAAGAAACATATGGGGATAGGAAGAGTGTTAGTTTGCTTGTTTCTTCTTCTGATTCTGCTTTTATATGTGGAAGCTCCATATTATGGAGGTGGGAATAGCCAATTCAGCAGATTCAAGGGGAGTTCTTGTTCTGGTTCAGGTGGAAAAACCCATAAAAATGGCTTCAAAGGCAATGCAAAAAATGATTGTGCTGAGATTTTTGGTGCAGAAAAGAGAAGAGTCCACACAGGTCCAAATCCTTTACACAACAGATAAGTAGCAAGACAAAAGCAAAAGCAAGCTGGATTCTCTCTCTCTCTCTATCTCTCAAGCCATGAAACTTTTCTTTTAAAATATACCATATTTTTGGTTGTGACATGTTTCGTAAACTAAAAAAGACTTTCGTTCATAAGAGTGATTGGTC